TCCAGTGTCCAGTGCAAACCAGAAAATAGAGCGTGGCGCCCGCGGCTCCTTAACAAGACGGACCGGTGGCTTTTGTTCTGAACACATTTGCTGGGCGATGTCCCCAAGTACGTAGCCAGGGGGCCTCACTGTCTTGGTTCCCTAATCTGATGGCTCCCCTGTCACTTTAGCAATTCGTGGGGAACCCTAAGGCTGCGGGAGCATGCGGCCAGGTGGCGCCTGGAAGGCGGGTCCAGACAATCGACTGGTCTCTCCCTGTCCCCAAACGGTGCCTGGGAAGGCTCTTGCAGGTGATGGGAGCTGTGGACATGGAAGCCACCAGAGCAGAGAATTCCTTCCCCGCCAAGCATTCTCTCGCTTGGTGCCCCCACCCCCAAACTTCCCTTTTCTTGCAGGGAAAGGGTATCACTGAAGCACAGCCCCCCATTCCCCATCTTTCGCCTGCAGGGCTCCAGGCAGTTTACCCTTCTTTCCCTGATGGCTGCTTCAGGCACCTGGTCTGGGGGTCAGCGGAGAACCCTGAACCCCAGGCTACCATGCGGGGTTCCAACTGCCCTCCACCCCTAAAGCTGCAAAGACCGCTGCATTTCTATTTCGTATTTCAATTTGCCCCTCAGACAAAGCGGGGTGCAGAGCTGCAGGGAGAAACCGGCTACAACCACAATAAAGGTGCCTCCCGGGAAAAGGTGCCCACCCTCTCTCTGAAACGAAAGTCCTCAGGGACTTCTGCGAAATTGTATACACGGTATTTTAACGTGTTTTCCCACCACGGCTCCACGGCACCACGACACTGCCGGGGGCTCCCGCGACTCCAGGACAGCCCCCCCAGCAACGGAGAGGTTCCCGCCACAGCTGGGGTGACCTCGCTTTCCGAGTCGGAACCGGGCAAATGCCGGGACAGACCGGGTCACCCTCCTCAAGAAAACACCGCCGTCTGGCACACGGCAGGCCCCCAGCTCAGCGAGGTCTCTTCTGCAGTTTTCTTAGAACAACTTACAAAGAAATTCCCCCCGCCCGGCAAAGTGTTCGTGTACTTATACAACACATAACCGGTGCTTCGGTCGGATGGTCGTCACCCCAACAACTCTCCCGAGGTCCCACTCCGCTCTGCGGCTTCACTGTGTATAAATCACTTACAAGAAAGAAAACTTTGTTCAAATCGATTGATTCAAAGTAATGGCAGCCCTTTAATCCAGGGCTTGTTTTTGTTCTATTTAAGAATGTGTCTGTTTAGGCCGAATTGCTGGCAGCTACAGAAATTAAAGTGAAAAATTAAAAGCATCTTCCTTCTGATCCCTCTCCTCCGAAGCCAAGGGGGTTCTGCGACGGCACACCCCCCAGGCTCAAGTCTCCCCTTGATCACCCACCATCACCCCAGGCCCTTAATGCTTCTTCTTACACCTAGGTTTCACAATGATTTTTTTTTGGGGGGGTCCCACACTTGTTCTTTGATTAAATTTGAATACGACGGGACTAGGGCAGAGTTCGCACATTTTGCGGCATGTGATTGTGCTGGTGAGTGGAAATAAATGTTGCTAGCATTCAAACGCTGCGTCTAAAACCCGGACCAGCCCCTCCGTGGCGCCCCAAGGGTCTCCCCAGACCTCCGGGCTGAGGCCGTGGCCTTCCGCCGGAGTGTGTGGGAAGGTGGCAATCCGCTACCAACGAAAACCTGCATGCACCGAATCGAAAGCGAAAGAGAGGAAGCAGGGGTGCTCCGCGAGCATCTGGGAGCGCAGGCGGCTTGGTGCGCGTGGGGCGGCTCGGGAGTCGGCCAAGGGTGTCGGGAAGAGATGCCTTAGCCCCCGCCCCGGAGGCGAGGAGGCTCTTCTGGCCGCGGAGAAATGTGGGATCCCGAACTTGGCGTGTCTCCTTGGGGCCCACGCGGTCAAAAATGGGCCAAGGACCGGCAGGGACTTCGGAAGGCTAAAGTGCGAGCGGGAACTCGGCGAGGTCTGGATCCTTGCGGGCGAGACCGGGTGGGGCTCTTTTCGTGAAAACGCAAAGGTGTCCGCACTGGAGGGGACCGCCAGTCATCTCGCTAGTTTTGCTTGTTGCCCTAATTAGTACTGTTCGGGGAAACGGAGGCCCAGTGAAGAGCGGAGAGGACAGAAGCCTGAGAGGGTTTCTCACCTCCACTTTGGGCAACTCCTAGAAATCCGGCTGGCGGCGACGGAGGCGGCTTCCACGCCGTGCGTTCCCCGGCGCTTCCCTGGTGCACCCCCGCCCAGGCCCGCACCTCGCTGGCAGAGAGCCCCTCGAAAGCCGGGAGTGGCTCCTGGGGCTGAGGTCCGGGAGAAAACTCTGGCGCCTCGCCTCCTGCTCCATGTAGTTACAATCGAGGAACTGGCGTCTGCCCCGGACCAGCAGAGCTGGGAAGGAGGTTGCAAAGTCCAAGCTACCTGGGGTCAGGAGCCAGGTCTGCCAAGGCCAGGCTCAGCCCCGCCAGGGCTCTGTCTGCCCCCAGGTTCTCCCAAGCTCCTGGGAATATCTCCACGCGTTTCCCTTGAACCTCTTTCTCCTCTCTTGAACACACAGTCTGACAAGCGTGGGCAAGAACAGCTGTCAACACCTGCCTCAGTTTCCCTCCTTGCTGGCAGTCTAGAGGCCCTCCTCTCAGCTGCCTCTGAAAAGGGCAGAGCCTCACCTCCTGGTCCCTCCGGTTCCTCCTGTTGTACCTAACGTGCCTAACCTCTTTTGTACAAGGACCAGAAACCTCTCCCAAGGCAGGGAAACAGCTGCTGAGAGAAGGAGAAGAATAAACAGAGCTGTTTGCTGTTTGTGGCTTTGCCCTGAGCACTGCCTGCATCTCGGGGTGGCCAGGGAGCGGGGTCCTGTCAGTGACTCCAGGCTGCCTTTGTCCCAGCCTGCGGCTTACGGCCTTGCCCACAGCCCGGGCAGCGCCTGTCCTGCCCTCAGAACTGGGTGCCGAGGTTCCCAGCAGCACGGAGGCCGCCCTGATGATGGAAATGAGGAAGAGGGTAGGCCAGACTCCTATTCTCTCCGTGGGGGGACATTTACTACCCAATGAGGCCTTACTATTACCTCCCCATGATGCCGGTGAGCACTGGGGTGTAGAGGAGTTAGATACTTGCTCTCGGGTCACACCATGGGGAGCCCCAGCGGCAAAGGCAAGCAATGGGAGGGCCCCATTGGCACGTGAGGGCCCAGGAGAGCTCAGAGAGGGGGCTCAGCAGGGGCCAGCTCCTTCTCTCTAGATGTCAAGGCATCTTCCAAACAAGAAATTCTCTCCTTGCCTGATGTCTCATTCTTCTCAGAACTCTCCCTAGTGAATTTCTTTAAAACACGAAAATCCAGTGCAGTGGAAGAGAAAAGAGGGACTCCCCTGGCTTTGCAAACCTCCATGGGTCCCCCAGTGTGAGACTTGCTGTCACCTAGCAGTTCCGTGGGTGAGGAAGCCCTGGGGAAGGTGGGGAGGAGGCCAGGGCATGTGGAAGGGTGGGGGGGGGGCAGACCACTTGCCTGTGGATGAAGCAGAAGCGTCTGTGATCGAGTGCCTGACCCCATTCCAGCAGGAAGGTGGAGGAAGTGGGGAAAGGCCGCCACATCTTCCTAAATCTGCTCTCAGTCCTGCCCCTGAAGGTCTGGGAGTGTGTGACTGTATTCGAGGCCACTCGAGTGAGTGTCCTTGATGTGTGACCACGCTGGCTCCTGAGGAAGAGGTTGTGTGTGTGTGTGTGTGTGTGTGTGTGTGTGTGTGGAGTGCAAGTGTAGACAGGCGCGCAATTTTGTGAATGCTCCTGCGTGTCAACAACCACCTAATGAACTAATTCTGAGCCCGAGGGAGGGCGAGCCAGTGTGAGTGTAAGAACGTGCTTGTCCTGGGCTGTTTCCTAAGGTTATTTCAGCGCCAAGGCCTCTGCCAGGTCCCACTTCTGCCCCCAGGCCCAGGGTCTCTCCGAACGGCCTGGATCAACTCAGCCAAAGCCACTGCCCGGTCGGCCCCAGCTCATGTCCAGGGGCTGCCCGAAGGCCTCAGGGGAAGACTGTGTACCTAGGGCTTCTAGTCCGGGGAAGAATTTCCCTTTTTCCTCCGTTTCCCTGCGACCTGCTGGGAGCTCACCAACCCTGATTCTGGGAGTGGGGGCCTCAGCTCCTGAGCCGCTCTGGCCCCAGGCAGCCCCGGAGAGGTTCCCTCCTCCACTTCGGGCACGAGTTCTGGGGGCCCAGGCCTGTGTTCAAGGGGGCCTGGAGGTCATGTAGGCCTGGGTTCTCTGTGAGCCCAAATCAGAACGAAGAGACTTCCCTCTTCGCCCGGCACCGAGTCCCCTCAAAATCGTCGGCTTCCTGCCTCCCTGCAGGGTCGGCCGCAAACCATTGTTCCCAGGCCTGCCAGCCTCCCCTGGCCGTTCGGGAAAGAAACGCTCAGGAACTCTGGCCAGCACGCCTCCCCGCAGCGAGCCGGCTTCGGAGCCACTGGATTCGGGTCTTCCGCGGCCCCAGGCGTCTCGGATCGTATCCGTGTGACGCCCTCATTCCACTGCATCCCGTGCGCGCTCAGACGACTGCGCTCCAAGCCGGCTCCGCACCTGCAACGCTCCCACCTGTGGCACCGCGGGAGGCGCCTCCAAGCCGGCGGGGAGTAAGGCCTCGGCAGCCGGGAGCCCCGGCGCAGGAGCGCAGCGCCGAAACTGTTTCCCTCCGCACGGCCGGCCAGTGCGGGAGCGAGAATTCCGCTTCCATGCCGGCCCCCGCGGGCAGCGCAAAATGAGCGGTCGAGGAAAGGCCAAAGAAGGGGTGGAAAAAAGTCCGGGTTTAATAACTCAAATGCTCCTTGGCCGTGGCGAGGGTGGGTGTGAAGAGGCAAGACGAATCCCTCCGTACCTTCGGAGCGGCCCGATCCCCATTTCCCGACCGAGAGGAGCCCACTGCTCGGCCGGCACGCACCTCAGCCCAACTCCTGCCTCCCGAAAGCCTACGAGGGAGTCGAAGGCACGGCCCCGGGGTCCCCGGCCCAGCGGACCCGCACGCGCACTCACCGTAGCAGGGGACCTGCAAAGCCGCGCTGTGGCCGCTGCCTTCCTGCAGTTTGAGGCTGCCGTCCGGGGGCGTCTTGCAGGCGGCTCGCTGCATGTAGAGATGCGGCTGCTGCGCCGGCGGCTGGGGCTGCGGCTGTGACGGCGGCTGCGGCGGCTGCGGGGCGGGCGGCTGGGGCTGGAACTTGTTAAAGGAGCCTCGCGCCCCGGCGCTGCTCTCCAGGGGTGCCGCCAGGTCCTGTTGCCCCGCGCTGTAGCGAGCCCGGCTCTTGGCGTCCCCGAATCCCTGCCCTTTGGCGGAGGCGGCGGACAGGAAAGTAGTGCTGAACTTATCACCACCGGGATATGCCCTAAAAGGTGACGAGCCCTCCCGACTCTGCGACACCGGGCTGTAGTAGGCGTCCATGGTAGCGGCCGGCGACTCGCTGTAAGAGACGCAAGTCTCAGCATTCATGCCTGGCTCGCGCGGGCGACGGGCGGGGGCGCAAGCTAGAGAGCGAGGACGCCACCGCGCGCCCTGGCCGGGAGTTTGGAGACCCGAGGAGGCGGTGGCTGTGCGCTGCGCGCCGGCCTGCTCGCTCCTCTCCCTCCTCCTCCCTCCACGGCGCGCTCCCTCTCACTCTCTCTCTCTTTCTCATTCTCCCATTCTCCCTCCCTCTGCCTCCCTCCCTCTCTCACTTTTTCTTTCTCCCCCCTCCTCCCTCACCACAGCTGGCCCAGGGGAAGAACGGAGGGCTGTAAAAAGATTCAGATGTTTCGGAAAGTTGACCAGATCTCCCAAACCCTCTTAAGATTTTGAAGGGGTCGGTGAATAGAGAGAGAGTGATCCGCACCCCCCACCCCGCCCAGAATCTCTCCTTCCTTCTCCCTGCGCCGCCTCCGCGGCCCCTGCCCTTTCTTTCCTGTCTTGTGGTAGAATCCTGGGGATTCTACCCCGAGGTTCCTGAAGGATTTTCCGATTCTAGGCGGAGCCGGGAAGGTGTCAGGACCTTTGGGGTTCCCAAGGCCAGGCTGAAAATTATCTGGTCCCAGCTTTGGCCTAGGGGAGGGGACATGCACAACTTTAGTGATGGATTTTTTTTTTTTTTTAAACCTAACAGGTTTTGACATTCGCAGTCAGATGGGCCGCTAGCCTCCGGGTGCGGGAGGGACTTCTCCACACTTCCGCGCAGATTTGGCGGCGCAGCTGCGGGCCTCCTCACTGGGGCCTTTTCCTCCGTGTTTCCAACCCCCCTTCCCCATTCTCGGTTCCTCCGTGAGAGTCACACGCACGCCAGAGCCGCCCTGTACGTGGCCACTTTCACGTGGGTTCACTCCTTCCCATCCCTGTGAGGGTTCTGGGTAAGGGCGCGGAGGGGCCTGCCGCTCCCTCTCTCGGCCACGGGAGAAACCCTGGGCTGGGCCAGGCTTCAGAAGCTTAAGAGCACTGCCTCCTCCCCTCCTCTGCCCTCCCGCCCCGTACAGAGCCCCGTACGCCTCAGTTCGCGCCCAGCCCAGGGGATTTTCTGGCTGGCTAGTTGAGCGTGTGGAGTTTGGAGACCGGCGGCAGCGCCCGGTCCCTGCGCTGTCACCTGCTCACAGCTGGAGGTTGAGGCGAGGCAGTGTGTGATCTCCGATCTGATGGATGGTGGTTTCTCTTCCCCAGACGCACCTCCCTGATCCACTGCAGGGGTGGTGGGGAGAACGTTCCCCAGCACGGAGCCCCTTCCACACAGCCAGTGGTCAACTGTGCCTCACAGCAACCCAGAGTGGTGGAGATTGGGGCCCCCAACTTTCCCATGAGCAAAGCGAAGCTCAGAGAGGTGCAGTCACCAGAACGAAGTCACACAGCCTGGAAGTAGCAGCGCTGTTTTTGGAACCTATGCTGAATCTAGTCCTGGGGGACGTTTTCACGGTGGAAAACGCAAAACTAAACTAAACTAAAAAACACAGAGAAAATGGGTCTCTGGCTGTGGAATGACTGGGTCTGAAGGAGACCAGCCGCAGAAGCCCTTGATAAACTGCAGGGGAAATCCGCGTGTGGAGGCCATATCCACCTGAAGGGAGGTTGGGAGTGGGGTGAGAGGTGAAGGGCAAAGTGAAACGAGGGCCTGAGCACCCTGAACCCAGGAATGCGGGTCGGAAGTCAGCCTGTACGTACCGTCTCTCAAAGAAAAAATACCTGGGGGTCGGACTCCTACCCCACCCTATGCCAGCTACTCCTCACCCCAACACGATTCCCAACTCCCGAGGTGTCTCGTGTCTTTGCTTCCTGCTCTGCCTCCGACTGTGACTTCGAGATGAGATCCCACATCTGGTTTCCATCGCGGCGTACCTTGAAGTGTTCGTTAATAAAGATATTCCGCAAACCATGGCCCGCGGTGCGCAGGCCTGAAACCACCGCCACTGCGGGCCCTGTGCTTTTCTGGCCCGCACGCCTGAGCCACGTGAGGACCTGGTGTTTACTGAGCATCTACTGTGCAAAAGCCACCCATGGGTCATCCTCCCAGCCACTTCTGAGGAGCTGGAGCTGCTTGACTTGTCATGCCCATTTTTCAGATGGGTAGACTGACACTCAAAAAAAAATTAATTTTCCAAGCTCAGACAGCAAAAAGCAGGTGAGCTGAGCCTGCCAGCACCCCAACAGGCTCCTGTTCAGCCCATCTCATTCTGTTCTCTGAGCCCGCCAAGTTCTGGATCCCTCAGTCTCTTCACTGTGCTTTTGTCCCGCCAAGGATTTGGGGTTCAGCCTAGAGTCTCTTCCTCAGAAACCATTCCCATCTGTCCCAGTTTGCCTTGGCGCCTCCGCCTGCAGCATCTCCGTCCTGGACTTTGTGGTTGTCTGGTTGCTAGGGTGGGTGTTCATCTTGATTTTGCTAGTTGGAGGTTCCCCCAGGGCAGTCTCTGCCATGCCTGGCGCCCCACAAATATTTGTGGAATAAAGTACTAACGCCAGGGCTCTCGGAGCCTGAGTCCCTTCCACTGCCCAGCCAGGCACCAACTCCTAACGTCTTTGGTGTCCTCTAGTCAAGGAAAAGGAGTTGCTCTCTCTCTCCTTCTTCTTGAACGAAGCAACAAAATCAAGAATGTGCACAGGAACAACGAGTTCTCTCCGGGCAGAGGCCAGGCCTGTCCTGTCCCCCGGAGGGCTTGCCCCAACGTAGGCAGTCCTAAAACGTGCGTTGAATGAACGAATGAAACGTGCGTTGAAAACACCCTGCAGTCCAGGGGCCGAGAGGTGCATTTTTGCCAAGGGGTTCGAAGGGAGCTGGCGAGGGGTCTGCGGGGCCCAGAGGCTTCCTGCAAGCACCCGGAGGGTGGCAGCAACCCCTCCGCTCCTCCCACCCCCACTTTCAGGCCTAGAGGCAGGGGAAGACTATGAGAACTGACACACCTGGGGTTGGGAGGGGGCGGGGGAGGACCTGGAGACAGGTATAATTGCGTTTAGGCAGTATTCTCAGTAACCTCAGTGCTGTGCGTACTCAATGAAAAAAATTGCCTTGTGCCACGAAGCTTTCTTTGGACGCTGCCTCCAACCACCTACACACCCAGCGCTTTTTATTACCTGCTTAATTACTGCCTTCTTATCCACTCTATCCCCAGCCAAACCAGGGCTTTCAGACCAAGGGCTCCGCGGGGCGGCAGGAGGTGCCCTTGGAACCTGCGTGAGAACCTCTGCTTTTCTGTGTTGCACCTTAGAGCTGACTCAGGAAGGGCGAGCGTGTGCCTGCCAGTGAGGCGTGCCCACGTGAGAACATTCTGGGCCGATCCTTTGCCTTAAGAAAAACCGCCAACCCTCTCTCCTGAGTCCCTTCACACACGCCTTTCTGAGGAGAAGGCTGATAAGTGTAGCTGATTACTTCTGTGTGCCTTCCATCCTTGGTTCGCCCCTCCGCCAGCCCGTCCGCCAGCCCGTCCACCCTACGGTCCAGAGCTGAGTGCCTAGCCACACCCACTCCGTTCCTCCCTAAGAGGACAGGGCGCCCTCGCAGCCATCTGGTGGCTTCAGCGTCTGCGCGCTATTTCTCCTGAAGCTAAGGCTCCCCCTCTGTTTCACTGTTTATCTCTCAGCGTCTCCTGCTGCTCTTGACATGCCTGGCCTCCCTCGAACCTAGATCACTCCCCTGGGAACCAGGAACAGCGGGGGAGCAGAGTCCTCTGCTTCGGGTCCTGCAAACCCAGCAGGTCTGCTCCCTGTTGAACCTCCCACTCGGCCCCCCTGGACAGCAGCTCCCCCTCCCGCGGGCTCCAGAAGCTCAGCACACAGCCGGGGTGGTGAAGCAGAGTCCTTCTCGGCCTGCCCAGGCAGCCCAGTTGGTTAGGTTTTCCTCCCAATATGCCAAGGTTACTGGTTCCATCCATTCGATCCAAAGGCCACGGTACATTCAAGATTCAACCAGTGAGTGCATGGATAAGAGCAACGACAAACTGATCTCTCTCTCAAGTCAATAAATAAAAATGAAAAGAGAAGCAGAGTCTTTGTCAAGGCTGAGTGCCCATGTCACCTCCTCTGGGAGGCCCTCCATCACTACCCCAGCTGCCGCCCTGTCACCTCTGCTGGCTTACTTCCTCCGCAGCATCTATCCTGACCTGACCCCACCTCCCACGTGGGTCGGTCTATTTGGTGCAGAGCCTGCCTTCCTACTGGCATGGGACGTGTGTCTGCTGTCTCTCAGCATGAAGTCCAGTGCTGGGCACACAGCACTGCTCAGCAAATAGCTGTTGAGTGAATAACCGACGAGTGAGTGAGTGAACAGACGAATGGGTCCGACCAACAGAGCATTGCCCCAGGTCTGGAGAGCAATGGTTGAGGCTGTGGTTCAGGGCTGGAACTCCTGAGGCCAGGGACTTGAGATGGGGCAGGGAGAGGTACAGCAGACACTCCTTCCTTTCAAAGGAAAGGGCGGATGGGGGCGGGGCTGCGCTCTTGGGCCTGAGCCCCCTCTGCCCCTGCCCCCACTCCCTTCTCCCTACCCCCTTGAACAAACAGTGGAGGCACTCCCTCCAGCTCCACCTGCTTAGTTCCTGTGACCTGCTTACCTCTGTGACCTCGCCTGACTGCCCCAGCCTCGATTTCCAGGGTGGGTGCAATGGGACCATGACCACCTCAGTGAGTGTGTGCACACTCTGGCTCTGTAAGTGCCAGGGTACAAGAAAGACTGCCCAGAGGTTTGGGGACGCTGAAGGGACATGTCGGACGGCAGTGCAGGAGACAATTCCCGCTGAGAAGGCAGGAGTCCGGAACCTGCCTGCCCTGCAGACCCTGGCGCACAAACCTCACTCTCTGGACATAACATCACTTGCCGTCATGTGTTAGACAACTGTTACAAGTTAGCCTTTGCCCACTGAGATCTTGGCAGTCCTTGCAAAAGCCCTATGGTGGTTACATTACCCTAATTTTGCAAGGATTTTTTAAAAATCTGCCCACCGAGAAGAGAAGCAATTGCTTACCGTCACACAGCAAAGCAGAGGACTTGGGACTCCAACACAAGCGAGCTGACATCAGCGGCCGCGCTGCTGAGCACTGGGCTTCGCAGGGGTCTCTGCAACCAAGGGCGGTTCTCGGGG